GGAATTCTACTTCTTCTGAGTGGCCACCAAGAAGTCTTCTTCTTCCTCCTCCTCCTCCTCTCATCATCCCATGCATTTCTATTCCCTCCTTCCTCCCGTGTGATGTTCTGGATGCTGGGCATTGTTGTTCTTTTCCTGACCATTTTCTCTTATGACAGCACTATTGAATCTTTCTTTTCTATTCTTTAGCAAACAGAAGGTTTCAAGAAACGTTGGTTCACCATGGATGATCGGCGGCTAATGTATTTCAAAGATCCCCTGGTAAGTCCTTTCTGTGTCCGTGAATGTCCTCCATTCCAACTGGTCACCTTCGTAACTCCTCAACAAATGTCAGTACTGGTATGCGGCAGGTACTGGCTTGTTCAGTAGACTCTCCTCTACAGTTCCATTTTGGTGGGAAATCTTAGTATTGAATGGTTGTGTTGTTAAAGTGCAAAGTATGGAACCCTGCGCAGACGGTGGGTCAATGCGACTTAAGTACTGTGTGCAGCAGGTACTGGCTTGTTCAGTAGACTCTCCTCTACAGTTCCATTTTGGCTGGAAGCCTTAGCATTGAATGATTGTGTTGTTAAAGTGCAAAGTATGGAACCCTGCACAGACGGTCGGTCAATGCGACTTAAGCACCGTATGCGGCAGATACTGGCTTGTTCAGTAGAGTCTCCTCTACAGTTCCATTTTGGTGGGAAGCCTTAGCATTGAATGATTGTGTTGTTAAAGTGCAAAGTATGGAACCCTGTGCAGACAGTCGGTCAATGTGACTTAAGCAATGAATGCAGCAGGTACTGGCTTGTTCAGTAGACTCTCCTCCACAGTTCCATTTTGGCGGGAAGCCTTAGCATTGAATGGTTGTGTTGTTAAAGTGCAAAGTATAGAACCCTGCACAGACGGTCGGTCAATGCGATTTGAGCACCATATGCGGCAGGTACTGGCTTGTTCAGTAGACTCCCCTCAGTCCACATGCTGCCTTGCCAGAGAAAATATGCCATGCAGGTGAACAGTAAAGAACAAGTAGTTTACTCTTTGTAGTTCATAACAACATGTATGTGATCAGTTGCATCAACTCACATAATGTCTTTATCAACTCATGAAGTGAGAGTACACTCCAAGCTCTGTCTCTCTCTCTGCTTCATTCTTCTGCACTTGCATAGCTCAAACCTGAACAAAAATGTACAAGTAACCAAAAGTCCCAGGCTCAGCCTGCTCCCTGGTCGTTGCCCAACCAATCAGCTTTCTCCCCATGGGAACTCAAGGCTGTAGCGTAAAGTAAAATAAACCAGGTGTAGTTCTCATTTTGATCGGTCCACATGCTGCCTTGCCATAGAAAGAAAATATGCCATACAGGTGAACAGTAAAGAACAAGTAGTTTACTCTTCGTAGTTCAGAACAACATGTGTACAGTGTGATCAGTTGCATCAACTCACATAATGTCCTTTAGCAACTCATGAAGTGAGAGCACACTCTCAACCTTCTCTCCCTCTCTGCTTCTCTCTTTTGCACTTGCATAGCTCAAGCCTGAACAAAAATGTGATGGTAGCCAAAAGTCCCAGGCTCAGCATTGCCCGACCAATCAGCTTCATGCATCTTATTTTAGAGTTGACACACACATTCACTGATTCCTTGCGTGCTCCAACAGTTATCCCCAAAACAGGAATAAATTATAAGTAACACTATTTGTAATGAATTACTTTTGAGCTCTTGCAAAACTCCATAGCTAAGTTTAGGCTTTCCAAAATATTCGACTTTCCCAAAAGTTGCATAGAAATCAATAGGAAAGTGATATTAAATATTATAAGGAAACACAGAAGTTAAAAATATTTAGGTTTAAGTTTCTGATGAGCAGATAGATCAAAATGTCTGGGAGGTGTGAGAATAAAACCTTGACTGTGAGAACAGATGGAGGGCCAAATCCATTACTGTCAGAAGTTGGAACCATTCCTTTTTGCGTGATTTTTTCCCCCTGCGGAATATGCTTGCGATGACCCACTCTACATCCTGGTGCAGTTTGAGGGAGGATGGACCATGGATGATGGGACTTGCAGTACTTGAAGTCACTTCCTTGCAGCACTGTGACCCACACCAATGATGGATCAGGACCAAACGTGACACAGAGGCCTAATGGCCCACTTTACAACCTGGTATGGTTTAGGGCAAGATGGACCATGGACGATGGGATTTGCAGTACCTTCACCCGATTCATTTCCCACAGAGCACGGTGGCCCCTACTAATGACAGACCAGGACCAAACTTGGCACACAGAGCCCACTCTACATCCTGGTGCAGTTCTAAGGGGGATGGACCATGGATGATGGGATTTGTAGTACCTTCACTCATTTCCTGAGACCACTGCAAACCTCATCCAATGACCGACAAAGACCAAACTTGACACACAGAGCCCCCATGACCCACTCTACATCCTGGTGCAGTTTGAAGAAGGACGGACCATGGATGATGGGACTTGCAGTACCTTCACTCACTCACTGAAACCACTGAACCACTCATCCAATAACTGATCAAGACCAAACTTGGCAAAGAGAGCCCCCATGACCCACTCTACATCCTGGTACAGTTTGAAGGACAGCACATAGATAATGGGACTTGTAGTACCTTCACTCACTTCCTGAAACCACTACGACCCTCATCCAATGACTAGATCAAGACCAAACTTGGCACACAGACCCCCCATGACCCACTCTACATCCCGGTGCTGTTTGGAGGAGGACAGACGATGGATGATGGGACTTGCAGTACTTTCACTCACTTCCTGAAACCACTATGACCCTCATGCAATGACTGATAAAGACCAAACTTGGCACACAGAGATCCCAGAACCCACTCTACATCCTATTGTGGTTTGGAGGAGGGCAGACCACAGATGATGGGACTTGCAGTACCTTGACTCACTTACTGAAGCCTCTGCAACCCTCATCCAATGACCGATCAAGACCAAACTTGGCACACAGAGCCCCGTGACCCACTCTACATCCTGCTGCAGTTTGGAGGAGGGTGGACCATGGATGATAGGACTTGCAGTACCTTGACTCACTTACTGAAACCACTGCAACCCTCATCCAATGACCAATCAAGACCAAACTTGGCACTCAGAACCCCCCATGGCCCACTCTACATCCTGCTGCAGTTTGGAGGAGGGCGAACCATGGATGATGGGACTTGCAGTACTTCCACTCACTTCCTGAGACCACTGCGAACCTTATCCAATGACCGATAAAGACCAAACTTGACATACAGAGCCCCCATGACCCACTTTCTCAAATAACGCGGGCACCGCCAGGTCACCAAGCTACTAATAAATGAAATGATTGAATATGCAAAGAGGACTAAAGTTAGTAAGTCATAGTATAAATCTGTGCCAAGTTGCAGTTAATTGGTTGTGTGTCATAGACAGGTATTCAAGGGGAATGCTGTTGACAGGCTGAATCAGGCATGGGCCAACTTAGGCCTTCCCTCCAGGTATTTTGGCCCAATCACCATAAAGAAGGCACTGGAAGTGGGACTAAAGTTAATTGGCGGGAGATTGAGAACACAGCATTCTGGGAAATGTAGTTTGGGAAGCAAGGTCCCCTGTGGAAGAGAATGCAAAAGGTCCTGCCCTGAACTACATTTCCCAGAATGCAATGTTCAACCTCAGGTTGCAGCAGCCGGTTGTTTAGAGTCAGTCTAATAATAATAATAAAAAAATATTGAATCTGCAAAAAGGACTAAAGTAAGTAAGTAATAGTATAAGTCTGTGCTAAGCTGAAGTTCTGTAGTTAGTTGTGTGACATATAGACTCAAAGGCATTCAAGGGGATTGCTGTTGACAGGCTGAATCAGGCATGGGCTAGCTTCGGCCTTCCCTCCAGGTGTTTTGGCCCAATCACAGGACTAAAGTTAATGGGCAGGAGACTGAGAACACAGCATTCTGGGAAATGTAGTTTGGGAAGCGAGGTCCCCTGTAGAAGAGTATGCAAAAGGCCCTGCCCTGAACTACATTTTCCAGAATGCAATGTTCAGCATCAGGTTGCAGCAGCCAGTCAATCTAATAATAATAAATAAAATGATTGAATATAAAGAGGACTAAAGTAAGTAAGTAAGTAAGAGTATACATCTATGCTAAGTTGAAGTTCTGTAGTTAATTGTGTGTCATAAAGACAGACAGGAATTCAAGGGGATTGCTGTTGACAGACTGGATGAGGCAGGGGCCAATTTAGGCCTTCCCTCCAGGTGTTTTGGCCCAATCACCATAAAGAAGGCACTGGGGGTGGGACTAGCAAAGTTAATGGCCATGAGACTGAGAACACAGCATTCTGGGAAATATAGTTTGGGAAGCGAGAATGCAAAAGGCCCTGCCCTGAACTACATTTCCCAGAAAGCAATGTTCAGCACCACGTTGCAGCAGCCGGTTGTTTAGAGTCGGTCTAATAATAATAAATAAAATTATTGAATCTGCAAAGAGGACTAAAGTAAGTAAGTAATAGTATAAATCTGTGCTAAGTTGAAGTTCTGTAGGTAGTTGTGTGTCATATAGACTCAAAGGCATTCAAGGGGATTGCTGTTGACAGGCTGAATCAGGCATGGGCCAACTTTGGCCTTCCCTCCAGGGCCCAATCACCATAAAGAAGGCACTGGGGGTGGGACTAGCAAAGTTAATGGCCATGAGACTGAGAACACAGCATTCTGGGAAATGTAGTTTGGGAAGCGAGAATGCAAAAGGCCCTGCCCTGAACTACATTTCCCAGAAAGCAATGTTCAGCACCACGTTGCAGCAGCCGGTTGTTTAGAGTCAGTGTAATAATAATAAATAAAATTATTGAATCTGCAAAGAGGACTAAAGTAAGTCAGTAATAGTGAGGAATTGTGAGAGTTGAAGTCCAAAACACCTGGAGGGAAGGCCAAAGTTGGCCAATGCCTGGGTTGAATCCTTGGATGTGATATAAGTGTCAAGAGTCAATTTTTGACGGCATGAAGACATCACAAATTCCCTCCGTGACATCCTGACTGAATCATCCTGGCTGCCTTTTCTCTCTGTGACATTTTGAAGCCAGCAGAGAGCACTGGAAACCTTGTATCGGAACTTGTGAAGCAACAAGCTCTAATAAGGAAACTGAGAAGAGGGGAAGTTGGGCAGGAAAGGTGTATAAAAGGAAGTGGTGGTGGGAACAAGTCAGTAGTGTCTTTCTTTGCTGCAGAGATACAAGCAATATATCCATTTCAAAGCAGAACCGGCTTGTGAGTGATCATTTAATATTGCTATATAAAACCTACAGTCTTACATTAAGACGCGTTTTGCTTTGCCCTCTGCCCAGGATGCCTTCGCCAGGGGGGAAGTGTTTATCGGAAGCAAGGAAAACAGCTACAAGGTGCTTGAAGGACTCCCCCCGTCCATCCAGGGGAACCACTGGCAGCACGGGATCACCATCGTGACGCCCGACCGGAAATTCCTTTTGCCTGCGAAACAGAAAGCGACCAGCAGGAGTGGATGGCAGCGTTTCAGAAAGTGATCGGCCGGCCGATGCTGCCGCAGGAATATGCAGGTGAGAGCGACAGAAAAGAACAGCTTCGGGCCAACATCCCCTTCACCTAGCGAGGACTCACATGTGGACATGCACTGTGGTTGCACTCTTTGCTCTTCATGTGGGATGGCCACATGGTGGAACGCAGAGCAGTGGCTGGATTCTATTGCACAATGCAGGCAGTCCCCAAGTTAAACTTGCTATAATGGTAGCACACACTGACCTCTGTTAGCCCACCAAATTTCAGAACGTTTCACTATCCATGGATTTTTGGTGAATTTTCAAAATTTTAGGGAGATATAGACCTCTTTTTCTGCTATTCTGATTAGTGTTTTCTGCTGCTGATGTAGTCTAGGAAATATAGTTTAGGGCAGGGCCTTTTGTATTCTCTGGCATAGGGCTCCTCCCTTCCCAAACTACATTTCCCAGAGATGTGTGCTGTTCCAAAGCGCATTGATCCCTCATTTTTCAACTTGCTACAATGGTAGCACACATTGGCCTCTGTTAGCCCACCAAATTTCAGAATGTTTCAGTTATCCACTGATATTTGGCAAATTTTCAAAGTTTTAGGGAGATACATACCTCTTTCTCTGCTATTCTGATTTGTTCTTTCAGATGCTGATGCAGTCTAGGAAATGTAGTTTAGGGCAGGGGCATTTGTATTCTCTGGCATAGGGCTCCTCCCTTCCCAAACTACATTTCCCAGAGTTGTGTGCTGTTCCACAATTCACTGCTCCCTCATTTTTGAACTTGCTACAATGGTAGCACACATTGACCTCTGTTAGCCCCCCAAATTTCAGAATGTTTCACTTCTCCATGGATTTTTGGTGAATTTTCAAAGTTTTAGGGAGATACAGACCTCTCTCTCTGCTCTTCTGATTGGTGTTTTCAAAGAATCAAAGAGTTGGAAGAGACCTCATGGGCCATCCAGTCCAACCCCCTGCCAAGAAGCAGGAATATTGCATTCAAATCACCCCTGACAGATGGCCATCCAGCCTCTGTTTAAAAGCTTCCAAAGAAGAAACCTCCACCACACTCCGGGGCAGAGAGTTCCACTGCTGAATGGCTCTTACAGTCAGGAATTTTTTCCTCATGTTCAGACAGAATCTCCTCTCTTGTAGTTTGCGAAATGTAGTTGAGGGCAGGGCCTTTTGTATTCTCTGGCATAGGGCTCCTTCCTTCCCAAACTACATTTCCCAGAGTTCTGTGCTTTTCCAAAATGCACTGCTCCCTCATTTTTAAACTTGCTACACGCTCACCATTGACTCCAGCACGTGGTAAATCAAAATCAGCTTCATTCTCGTCGAATGCCTGTCTCCATAACCACGTCTTCACCTGTTTCCTAAATGTCAGGATAGAAGGGGCGGTTCTGATCTCCAGTGGGAGAGAGTTCCAGAGTCGAGGGGCCACCACCGAGAAGGCCCTGTCCCTCGTCCCCACCAGACGCGCTTGCGAGGTCGGTGGGACCGAGAGCAGGGCCTCTCCAGAAGCTCAGGCCTCTGCTGAGCTCACTTCAGGCCCAAGCAACCCCTCATCCCCAAATCCAACAGACCCTGGCCCAGGAACCGAATCATCATTCCCATTCCCATCATGAACATCAACACGAACATTATCCCCATCATGAATAGCCACATGAACATCAGACACTGTGATTGTATCTGATATACAACACTCTGTCCCTTTCCTGAGGGGCCTAAGGCTGTTAGGAATGGTGGGAGTTGAAGTCCAAAACACCTGGAAGGAGGGCCGAAGTTTGCCCATGTCTGAGATAGTATCTTAATTGAAACTCGCCCCCTGTTTAAGCCACACCTTCTCTCTTTCTCTCCGCAGTGGAAGCCCATTTCAAGCATAAACCCTAACGGACCGAGCCGAGGAACGACAACCTGTTTACAGTACGCAACGACAATGTCCGTCCTTTTGTCACGTTACCATTGGGACTACCGGATAGGAGGTGCTAACCGCGAAGGCGATGCCAAGCCAAAGCAGACATTTGGAGAAACACTGCATTTCTTGAGTCATCGGCGATGAGGTTCTTCGCAGCCCGGGCTCTCCGAGACATTTCCTTTGGGAATGGTGCATTGGCCGGGAATCCGCTGTGATTACAGAGTGGCTTCCTCCTCGTCCTTCGAATGGGATATGACTTGTTACGTTGAGTAAGGGATTTCCCGTTGGATCAAACGATTTCCCCCGCAGAGCTTTCCTTCCCTTTTCCATCCCCGAAACCAGACTCCTACCTGGCTGACTTGTGTGAGGATCGAACACACTCTTGTCTATGGAACACTTCCCTTTGTGTTGACGATATCTCCAACACACTCGCAGAAGAAGGTAATTCGTTTAGAAGAAGCTCTTCTTTGTTCGACAAAAAAGAATAATAATAAGAATAATAATATGCTTTATTTATATTCCGTGCTATCGGACTCAGGGCGGATTACAAAACACATATACGGCAAACATTCGGCAAACATTAACAAGGACAGATAATACATAAACAAAGGCAAAGGCTTCCCCATCTTTGGCATCTGGAGGCTGTGCTCGATTCCAGCCACAGGGAGGTGCTGTTGCTCCATCTTCCATGCCGAGGAGCAATAATATACATTATTTATAGGCCTGGGTAACAACGGAAAAATTTGTTTCTAAAATCGATTAGTTTTTTGGGGTTTTTTATGTTTCGATATTTAAAAGAATTCCGAAATTTTCCTTAAAAAAAAGTTCGATATTTACAAAATTTTGTAAATGGTAAAAAAAAATTACAAAACAATAACGAAACAATAACGAATCGATTCGTTAATGGCGGCCGCGATCGCGCAATACGCTAAAAAAACTTCTGAAGCTTCCCTCTCCCTCTGTTGTTGACTGTTGGTGTGATATTATAATTTTTTTTCACTAATTAAACAAAAAACAACTATAAAACTTGCCCCAGACATGCGGAAATAATAACGAAACGACCTCAAACCAATAACGAAACGAATACATAACGAAATACGAAGCATTTACGAAACGAATTGAAAAATTCGTTTCGTTTTTAAGTTGCTCCAGAATGGTTCGTTATCGCTTCGTTAACAAAAAAAACACGAATTTTTAACGAATTACGAATTAACGAAACGAAACCGCCCAGCCCTATATTCCACTCTATCTCCCCGAGGGGACTCAAGGTGGATTATAGCACACATATACTGCAAACATTCAATGCCGTTGTGCAATTAACAAGGACAGACAATACATAAACAAAGGCAAAGGCTTTCCCATCTTTGGCATCTGGAGGCTGTGCTCGATTCCGGCCACAGGGAGGTGCTGTTGCTCCATCTTCCATGCCGAGAAGCAATAATATATTTTATTTATATTCTGCTCTATCTCCCCGAGGGGACTCAAGGTGGATTATGGAACACATATACGCAAACGTTCAATGCCATTGTACAATTAACAAGGACAGACAATACATAAACAAAGGCAAAGGCTTTCCCATCTTTTTTGATCTCCAGCATTTGGAGGCTGACAGTACGCAACGACAATGTCCGTCCTTTTGTCACGTTACCGTTGGGACTACCGGATAGGAGGTGCTAACCGCTAAGGCGATGCCAAGCCAAAGCAGACATTTGGAGAAACACTGCATTTCTTGAGTCATCGGCGATGAGGTTCTTCGCAGCCCGGGCTCTCCGAGACATTTCCTTTGGGAATGGTGCATTGGCCGGGAATCCGCTGTGATTACAGAGTGGCTTCCTCCTCGTCCTTCGAATGGGATATGACTTGTTACGTTGAGTAAGGGATTTCCCGTTGGATCAAACGATTTCCCCCGCAGAGCTTTCCTTCCCTTTTCCATCCCCAAACCAGACTCCTACCTGGCTGACTTGTGTGAGGATTGAACCCACTCTTGTCTCTGGAACACTTCCCTTTGTGTTGACGATATCTCCAACACACTCGCAGAAGAAGGTAATTCGTTTAGAAGAAGCTCTTCTTTGTTCGACAAAAAAGAATAATAATAAGAATAATAATATGCTTTATTTATATTCCGTGCTATCGGACTCAGGGCGGATTACAAAACACATATACGGCAAACATTCGGCAAACATTAACAAGGACAGATAATACATAAACAAAGGCAAAGGCTTCCCCATCTTTGGCATCTGGAGGCTGTGCTCGATTCCAGCCACAGGGAGGTGCTGTTGCTCCATCTTCCATGCCGAGGAGCAATAATATACATTATTTATAGGCCTGGGTAACAACGGAAAAATTTGTTTCTAAAATCGATTAGTTTTTTGGGGTTTTTTGCGTTTCGATATTTAAAAGAATTCCGAAATTTTCCTTAAAAAAAGTTCGATATTTACGAAATTTCGTAAATGGTAAAAAAATTACAAAACAATAACGAAACAATAACGAATCGATTTGTTAATGGCGGCCGCGATCGCGCAATACGCTAAAAATACTTCTGAAGCTTCCCTCTCCCTCTGTTGTTGACTGTTGGTGTGATATTATAATTTTTTTTCACTAATTAAACAAAAAACAACTATAAAACTTGCCCCAGACATGCGGAAATAATAACGAAACGACCTCAAACCAATAACGAAACGAATACATAACGAAATACGAAGCATTTACGAAACGAATTGAAAAATTCGTTTCGTTTTTAAGTTGCTCCAGAATGGTTCGTTATTGCTTCGTTAAAAAAAACGAATTTTTAACGAATTACGAATTAACGAAACGAAACCGCCCAGCCCTATATTCCACTCTATCTCCCCGAGGGGACTCAAGGTGGATTATAGCACACATATACTGCAAACATTCAATGCCGTTGTGCAATTAACAAGGACAGACAATACATAAACAAAGGCAAAGGCTTTCCCATCTTTGGCATCTGGAGGCTGTGCTCGATTCCGGCCACAGGGAGGTGCTGTTGCTCCATCTTCCATGCCGAGAAGCAATAATATATTTTATTTATATTCTGCTCTATCTCCCCGAGGGGACTCAAGGTGGATTATGGAACACATATACGCAAACGTTCAATGCCATTGTACAATTAACAAGGACAGACAATACATAAACAAAGGCAAAGGCTTTCCCATCTTTTTTGATCTCCAGCATTTGGAGGCTGTGCTCAGTTCCGGCCACAGGGAGGTGCTGTTGCTCCATTTTCCATGCCGAGGAGCAATAATATACTTTATTTATGTTCCGCTCTATCTCCCCGAAAGGAATTCAGGGTGGATTATAGCACACATATACGGCAAACATTCAATGTTGTTATTGTCGTGACTCAGAGCCCAAAGATTGTCCAACACAGCTAGTAAGGGGTTAACAAAGTCTTTAATAGGTCTTTGACAAAGCTAACAGCACTTAAACTGCAGTACCGATTAGCAACACAAAAGCCTTCAAGCAGGTAAACAAACGGGGAGGAAAAACCAGGATATCCCAGAACTCAGCTTCTCAAAAAGGAAAGCCGGAGCAAAACTGGCGATGGCAATAGCGTAGTTAAACAGTCTTAGGTCAAACACGGAGAGAGGCAGCAAACGAAGTCCAGAAGGCAAATGGCGTGGTCCAGAAACGTTCCGTAGTCAAGGGGCAAGACGAAGTCACTCACGTAGTCCAATCCAGAGTCGAGGCACACAAAGACACAATAGCTGTATTCCCAGGACCCAAACGGAGGTAAGGCAGCACAAAACACCCGATACAACGCTTTGTCCTCTGCAAAACTACCCATCCCAAAGCCCTCATTTTATCAGCAGTCGCTATCGCTGGATTGGCTCTCATCACTTACACCTGGATCATTATCCTCAGCTGTGACCTCATTACCACGCCAGCGTTGCCAACGTTGATCTTGTCCAGAATCCTCCCAAGAAGTACCTGCCTGCCATGTATCATGAAGCCCCTCGAATTCATCACTAGACGTGGGCTGTGTGCATACGTCCTGAATTTCCCTAACCCGAGTCCAGTCCAGCCCCTCTTCCATATCCCCATCATTGGATCCCTGTTCATCCGAACTGCAATTGTCAGCTACGTCTTTAAGACGCTTGCTCATTACTTCTTCATCACTGTCAGTCTCACTGGCAAAACGTTTTACTCCCCTGTAATCCAGTTCCTCTAAGTCTTCGGGTCCAAACCCTGCAAAGTCCTCAGAATCACTGGGTGCCATGATAACATCCCGAATGCGTTTCAGCTGATGCTGTTCCTCCTCCAACTCTGCATCACTCCTTCTCCTCCTACACCCACTAGTAGGTTCACTGCCAGGACGCTGAGTTACAACAGTTATATAATTATCAAGGACAAACAATACATAAACAAAGGCAAAGGCTTTCCCGTCTTTTCGATCTCCGGCATCTGGAGGCTGTGCTCGACTCCGGCCACAGGGAGGTGCTGTTGCTCCATCTTCCATGCCGAGGAGCAATAATATACATTATTTATATTCCGCTCTATCTCCCCGAAGGGACTCAGGGTGGATCACAGAACACATATACGGCAAACATTCAATTCCGTTATATAATTAATATTCTGGTCAAGAGCAAAGCAGGTAGCAATCTCCCAAAGCAGAGAAGAGCATGAGGCCTGGAGGCTGCTCCCTTGAATCCCTAAAGCCCTGTCTTCTGGCTCTTGCTCTTAACTCAAAACACTGCTTGTATGTCAAAGCAAAACCTAGGGTGAGAGACTGCTCTTAACTCAAAATGCTCATAAGGCCGGGCTGTAGCACAGCAGGTTAATCACCAGCAGCAATAGATCACACCAATCGAAAGGTTGGCAGTTGGAAGCCTGAGTCAGGGTGAGCACCCGACCATCAGCCCAGCGTACTGTCCACCTAAGCAGTTCGAAAACAGCTGTGAGTAGAGAAATTAGGAGTGGAGAAGTATTTTATGGCACCATAAAAAGGAATTACCAGGAAATGCTCGTGGTCAAAGAAAGGAGGAAGCCTGTGATGAAGAGGATGGAGCAACAGCACCCCCTGTGACCGGAATCAAGCACAACCTCCAGGACGCCGAAGCTGGGGAAAATGCCAATATAATGCCTCTATCTGTTATCTGTCCGGTCTGTTTAATGGCATTGAATGTTTGCTGGTATGGGTTCTGTGATCCGCCCTGAGTCCTCTTCGGGGTGAGAAGGGCAGAATATAAATACTGTAAATCAATCAATCAATAGTTCAATTTTTCCACGCCGAGGAGCACGTTGTCCGGGGACGCCTTCCTGATCGAATGGCTGGCTTGTCTTCACCTCCCCACCAAAGCGGTACCTATTTATCTACTCACATTTCTGTTTTCAAACTGCTAAGTAAGCAGAAGCTAGAGCTGACAGCAGAAGCTCACCCCAAAACAGCACACATCTAGCTTTTAAGGCAGGCCCACATCCTTTGCCAAAGTTCTGCAAATGTTTTCATGTCCAATCAGGGCTGGCTAATGCCTCCCAACAAAGGATCCCCCAGGCAGCATCGAGCCAGGCTTTGAAGCTGCAAGGCCATTCAGTGCTAATCAAGCTGGCTTTTCAATGCTAATAAGATCAATTGCAGCATTCACATTTTCCTCAGGCAGACAAGAGTTCTTTCTCCCACCCTGGACATCATTCCACACCTCCCAACAAAGGATTCCCCCAAGCAGGAAGCAGCCGGGCTTTGAAGCTGCAAGGCTTTTCGATGCTAATCAAGGTGATCAGTTGCAGCATCCACACTTGCCTCAAGCAGACAA